GATTTACCTCAATATTTAGACCCAACAGTTGAATTACCTCTTTTTACTGATCCAATTGACCAAGCATTAGCTATGTCTGGGGATCAACCTCATATAAAATTAATTCTTGAATGGAGTCTACATTCTAAGGAAGCGTAAGTTTAAAAATAAGTATAACTATTTGGGAAAGATAAGGTTACTAATAAACATTATTTTTATTATTTTTAGAACAATTGCTGATCATTGTGATCAAGTTGAAGAGCATGCCAGTGTAAGACAGCTAAAATTAAATTCTGAAAAAGGAACATCCATCACGCTTGAACAATGTTTTGATGTAAGTTGTACATTTTTTTTTTTTTTTAAATAAAATAGTTATAGTGACAAATTACCATAATTTACTCTTTACTAAATAATATTTATATAAAAATTAACTACAGACATGTAAAAAAAAATTCAAATTACATTCTAGCATCATATGGTTTATGAATTAATAAATAATTTGTTTTGAGTTTTATCCAAAATAATTTTGGTTTTCAATACTTTAGCTATATACAAAAGAAGAGGTATTAGGTCCAGAAAATGCTTGGCATTGTCCACAATGTAATCTTAAACAAGAAGTTGTGAAGAAACTTGGATTATGGACCTTACCTGATATTTTAGTGGTTCATCTAAAACGGTTTAGACAATCTCTTTCACTACCGTCGTCGCGACAGCACAATAACAGGTACTTGATGATGATATAAAATATTAGAAAATTATTAAATTTCATTATTTGTAGGTATATTTACCAAGTATAATTTTTTTTCAGACAACCAACAAAACTTTCAGTACTTGTAGATTTCCCTTTGTTTAGTTTTGATATGACCCCACATTTAGCTATAGGTCGGGATGTTAGGGTACCACTGAAGCCTCTAGCTTCTCGTCGGTTGTCTTCTATACAGGATCGTAACCTATATGATCTTTATGCTGTATGCAACCATCATGGATCAGATCCTCATAGTGGACATTATACTGGTTAATATACATTGATTACGGTTTAATTATAACAATAAAATAACTTAAATTTATTGTTCTAGCATTTTGCAAAAATCCATATGATAAACAATGGTATAGTTTTGATGATACTAAAGTTACACCAATATCTGATACTTCTCTGGTCACGACATCTGCATACATGTTGTTTTATCAACGACGAGATATGATTCTCAATAATTCTGACCATTGGGCCACACGGTTACATGCACACATATCAAATAGCCATTCGGTTGGACAAATAGTTGATAATATAGGTAACTTATGAACTAATTACAACATGGTTTCTATTAAACATTAATGGAAATTAAAATAAACATTTTATGTTCTTTGTAATCATAGGATGATATACAGGATGATTCACTAAGTATACTCACTCCCATTTTTTCTTGATTCATGCATTTATTCTATTTTGGATTTTGGAGATTATGATTTAGTCTCATGATATTTAAGGTTATTTAAGAACTATTGAGTGATATTAACATCCTTTTCTAATAAACCTAATAAATAACTAATTTTTTATTTCATGTTAAACCAATATACGGAAAAATTATACTAATGATACAATACAGTTTAATAACTTAGAAACTACTCAATTAAATTTAAAGGTTACCTTTCAAAAAAAATGTCTGCTAATAAATTAACACATTGCCTGCCATGCGGCCGCCAGCGGCCTCAAGAATATTTATTATTTGTACGCCAAGTTCATTTTTCAGTGTCATTATAAATTTGTATGTATACTAGCGTTTCCCAAAGTGTGTTCCGCGGAACCTTAGGGTTCCGTGGGACAATGTCAAGGGTTCCGTTAGATGTATGAGATTATTGAGAAAATTATGTTTATTTAATGTTTGTTGTTTAAAAAATGTTTGATTGAAAATTTTTTTTTAAACTAAGTTTAATAATGAAAAGTCATTAACAGTATCATTAAAATATTATTTGGACTTGAGAGTTTAAGGAATTGATTTTCCTTTTTTAATTTACAAAAATTGTAGTTGAGTTGGATTAGACATTAGGGTTCCGCGAAACACGAACAATTTTTTAAGGGTGCCGTGGTCGTAAAAGTTTGGGAACCGCTGATGTATACTATTGAATTTGAAAAAAATTTAAAAATACAAAATAAAATGTTAAAATTATGTTTTATACATCAAAAAATTGCAATTATTCCCGCTATGCCACAGCGCATTTTCTAGATCATTATTGTAGCGCCAAGGAAAAGTTAATAATATAAATCCAAATTAATTTGGGGCAGCCCGCTGCCATATGGCCTCCTACGAATGATATGGTGCGGCAACCGGCGGTCTGAAAATTATTAATACCTAATTATTTTTATATGGACGCTGGCGGCCGCATGGCAGTCAACGTGTTAAAAGCAAAAATAGTGGTTCTTATTTGAACATAAGAAGTCTGTATCGGTATACTACACTCCTTAAATTATATCTTGAAATTTGGGTCTTCTAATATATTTAGAAATATCAAAAATCAGAATTCAAACACAGTAAAGTAAACTGTCTTCAAAATAGGATGGTATGGCAACCACTGTTAAGCGAATTCCGCGGTTATTCCACAAAATACAAATTGAAACAAAGATGCTATTGTAATATGTAGTATAAAGAATTTAAAGAAAATTGTACACATAAGTACACATAGTAATTTTATTTGAACATTCTCTTAATATACAGAATGTCCCATGGGATATATCCATTGCCGTAGAGGAGGACTCACCGCCCAAACAAAAACCGGTTTTTTGCCACTCACAACACCTGTTAATGGGATAAATTAAAATACATAATTGGATAAATAAAAAACTTATTTAAATATTAGAAGATTTTTATTTTTTTTTTCATAAATACATAATAATTTGTACCGAAAATTTAGTGATCATAATGAAAAATAAATAATAAATATTTACTTATAAATCTTTTTGGTATCTATATATAATGATACATGCATAGAGTAGTATATATTTATTATTTTTGGGAATTTCCCCTTATTGATTCTTTTTGTTAATACACTCAATTGTTCTAGTCCCAAAGTGAGTCTAGTAAGCTCAAGCTACTTAAATACTTATTAATTATAAATTGTGTTTTAACTTTGTATTAAATTATTTTTTTTTAAGAGCACAATAACGATGATATTGCAGAGTTAAGTGATTCACCTTCAAGTCATACTATTTCCAGATCATCGACAGTTGAAAATGATACGGTGTTTTCAAGATCGGTAAATATTGTAATAGTTGTAAATGTACAATTAATAAAAATAATTGATTGTTTTTTTCTATTTAGAGTTCGCCTATGGTAAATGGTAGAAGGCCGTCTGATCTTTGTCTTGATGATACTGAAAAGAATTTCAAGAAACTTTTACATAATGCTAAAGAATCATGTATTTAAAAATTTTAGTTATATTATTATTGTTTTAAGGTTGTTATTTTGAAGGATTTCAAATTGCTTACCATTGAAGAATTATTAATTGTTTTTATAATATTTAAGTTACGTACACATAAACAATTACAATAACATTTTGGCAAAAAGTAATGAATTTGCTCATACAAAGGAACATTCCTTATACATTTTTACAGTTTCCATACATTAATATGGAGAAACAACATTTGTACTTACTACAGTTTTCTGATTTTTATACTTTATTCTGAATAAATTGAAAATCTTGAATATGAATAATATGATATTGAAAATGTTTCAATATATGCTCAACAATATGTCCCTCAAAAAATGTTGATATAATAAAATATTTTAGAAAATAAAGTTTGTTTTTAATTTTTAAAGAAAAACCCTAAAAACCAATATTTGGTATTTTTGTGTTACTCTGTCATATGTGTATAATGTTGTGAAACCTAATGCCTTGTTAAGCTGGGGATTAGTATTATATTAAATATTAAGATGATATTGGAACAGGAAATGCGAATATTACTTATTATTGCTAATTTTTACTTTCTCATTTTATTACTACCAATACATATTATTTACTATTTTAATTAATAACTCTTTAATATCATGCTGATCAGACAAAAATGTAAAAAAAGCTGATTTAAGTAAGTTGATAATTTTTTCATCATAACCTATGGACTATAACTATAGGATTATAGTTAAAATAATATATTTTATATGCAATTGAAAAACATGATAAAATATTAATGAAATTAACAATTATGTTACATCATCTGAATTTTTTTTACAAATAATATAATATAGTAGGATATTTTGAACAAATAAACAAGGAAACAACTTCTAAAGCCTAACTCATTTTTGTTTAATAGTACTAATTAATTATTTTTACTCTGGTAGTGTACTTTTAGTGGCCTATCCGTGATCTAACGCGAACGCGGTTTGAAGATTGAAAAACGTCGCGAGGGATTGCAAACTGGATTTTTTTAAGGAGTTCAATATAGGCATTTTCAAAGCTTTTCTTGTATAAAGTGTGTAAAGAAACGAGACTAAGTCATCATCACGGCTTCGCGTTCGTGAACGGTAAAGAATATATTATATACTAATTTTGTCAATCTTATTGTTATAAAAAATGTCTTAATGATATAATAGGACTTCTGGAAACTGATCTGAAATCGTAGATGTTATGTCTACTTAAGATCAATCAGGCCAAATTTTTGATTTCAATTTCGAATTATCATAATTTAAAATTTCATAAATTTATAATATATAATATATATATATATATTTTTCAATCTAAATTTATTGAAGTTGAGGAATGACATTTTAAAAAGTAGCTTGATCGTGAATTGGACAAGTAGAAATAATAAAAAAATGTAGGTATATAATTTTTTTAAAGTATACCAAATAGCGTTACTTAGCCCAACGACTAACTCTAGAATTGACAAAATATTGGGACATTTTAGTTGAAATAACATAGCCTAACTAACTACCTACAGCTTGCAATCCTCAAAAATACCTATCTTAATAATAATAAATTATAAAATAAATGGCAAAAATTAAAAATTGTAAGATTATACATTTTTCCTCATATTGTTTAAAAATTTGGATCTTTTGTTTTTGATTGTTTTTTATTATCATTATTATTATTATTTGGTAATATCAATTTTTATTATCCAAAAATTTGCAGAAACGTTTAAAACTGGTCTTCAAAAGGGATTTGCTTTCTTGATCATCTTTCCGGGACTCTAAAAAAAAAAAATAAATAACTTGAAATATAATTCTGTTTGTTTATAGAAGGTACTTTAGGACAGTTTAGGTAGGTAATAATAGGTGATAATAATTTTATATTATCATTAAGAGTTTTAAAAAATACCATGGCAGTGGCATACGTACCTAGATATTTTCTACGGGAGAGGTTATATTAAAAAATCATATTATGTATACATGTTTATATAATATATCAAAAATCAAAAAGGTTTTTTAAGGTTTATAATGACTATGCCACTCGTATCTCCTTGACATTGCTGTAGGTATTCATATCGTAGGTATTTATTAAAAAAAAAAATTGAAAAATTATTTCGTCAAATAAAAAATTACCAGAGCACCGCATATTAAGTTGTTTTGTAAATTTTATATTTATAAAAAGAGGCTTCAACAAAATCAAAGAAAAGAATAAACAAAATCGGGTAGAGTAGATAGGCATCATTTTGTCATGAAAGAAACAAAAATTAGAGAATGAAGAAAAACAGATTAGCTCAAATATTTATTTATCAGTGATAAATGATAATATGACAGAAAAAATAAATGTCAATATTATAATAATTATATTGGTACCTGAGACTTATATTACAACGTGAGATGTTGACAGTAGACAAGAAGGATATAATTGTTCATATGTCAATATGTCATATCCTTGCAGTAATTGAGTAATACTAGTGAGACTATTGCAATGATAGTTAATAATAGTGACAGAGACGATGATTTGAAAAATGTTGATTATTCGTTAGGTACATGTAAAGAGTTATAAGACTATGTTTACACATGGTCTATTATCCGTTATAAATAAAGTATTTGATGTTGCATTACCTACAGTACTTAATGAGGGTATATATATATTATTTTATTTAAAACGTAAATAAAAATATTTAAAATGTTAATCATTTATAATTTTTGCATTGTATATCAATCAGATTTTATTTATTTTAGGGTTATAAACTCTCAGCTCACAAAATAGAGATTAAGGGGGTTGACCTGGGTAGAGCCTCCCTAGTTTTAAATAATACATTTTACCGACTGTGTCAGTTTTGACAGAACACCATTGGTTTAAAAACTCTAACACGACACCGTTTGACCAACCGAAACCAGTTTGTGGAATATATTCACCGCCACCACCAGTTTCACCCGGAAGTTCGACGTGGTACTATTAAAACAATACATTTTGACATCACAACATATTTTCAAAAACATAAAAGTGATTATATAGGTATACAATTATAATTTATAACTATTCAACGTATAGATAACAATAATGTTTCACGAGTAATTCTTACTTTTTCATACATAAACGATTTTTCTGCAAATCCTTTATAATTCGTACTCAACCAGACCTCAGCCATTCTCGCGGCCACCTGTTGTGCGCAACTATGTCCTGTCCTGTCCAGACCTTGAATAATATACGCCTGCAGAGGAGGCCAAGCATTTGGATAATCCCACTGTTGTGACGATACGTACATGGACGTAGGCGTACCTTTAGGGAGTAATTATTATGAAATTATTATTTGCCTACCCAACACCTTTACAATGTAATCGAAAGTGTATAAAAACTCATATTCCATTTAAATTCCAAAACCTAAACACTCGTTAAATAATAATATAAAGGTTATTGACTATTGGTTACAATATTACAATATTAATTATACCTATATAAATAAATAATAGGTAGCTACTTTATTTTTTTTATTAAATTGAATAAGTTAGCCTTTTTCAGTACCTACATATGGTACTTAAGTATACTATACTCACTTATCTATACACTATACACTATTCAGTATGCAAAAATACACAATACATACGTCTTGTACGTATATTATATATACCTATATAATACTGACACTGTACAAATATACCTAACTATACCTAATCATATTAGTATATATTATTTAAATTGTGTTATAATTTTGTACCATGAAAGCTTATGCTGAAATCTGGTTCGATAATCCCTTCATCTCTTAAATATCTTAATACATCATTGGCCACCGACTTTTTTGGCATGTCATAACTTTCTGTCCACAAAGGTGAGATATTGGACACAACAAAACATTCTCGATGTTTATGGTTCATTAAATCCCAGTCGAACCAAGCACCTCTGTCTGATCTCCACATGACCTGCAGCAGATGTTTGGTTTTTCGTGAAAATAATGATAAATTATGGTCATTGATTTATAAAAATAGAAAAATTCATTCAATATTACAGCTGTTACTAACTTCTTGTATACCATTAAGAAATTCTTGAGCGACAATACAATATTTGGTGGCTTTGTATTTATTTCCTAACTGGCCAAACCATGTACTCAAAATGCGTGCATTTTGGTTTAGTATACTATTTAATTCGACTGGTACAATACTTGGCACATGTACATTCGATAGTTGATCTGTATTTTTTTTTAAAACATATTTTGTATTTTAGTAATTTCAAACCTTTGGTATTCATGTTATATGGGACGAGAGTACCAACCAGGATCGGAATCGGGATCTTTGTCAGTAGTTATAAACCATCTACTCGAATAGTCCCATCCAGACTCAGCACCAGACTTAAGCCTAGTATACATATCATCTTTCTCATTTTCAGTCTCAAACTTTTCAGCAACTTCGTAGTCTTCTCTATATCGACATAAATAGATACGTATTTGTAGTGATCTTTGTCCCCACAAATCTATCATTTTATACGAACCTATATGACTCTGGTCTTGGTCCCCTCGACGGTGCGTTGTATCTGGCCATTTTATACGATTTACCGTCTTTCTCGAAAGTCACCATCCGATTTTCCGTCCAAAAATGGAATTCACTCTCCAAGTCCTAAAAAAATGATTGATCGGTGTGTATGATTTATAGTTGTTCAGATATTACATTTTGCAAATCATATATTTATATATGTATTATAAGTGTTTGCAGAATTTACTGGAATGATTTTTTTAATATAGTCAAAGTCGTTGGTTTCTTTATAGTAACTCAATGCCATCAGTATGAGCAATGGTGGTTGTGATCTGTTAAGGTAGTATGATCGTCCTCCATTCGGCATGAAACCGAATTGATTCACCAGCGATATGATATTGTCGATGACACCACGAGCCGTGTCCTTCATGTCGCACAGCATAAGTCCGTTGACTATCCAGTACGTGTCCCAATAATATAGCTCTCTAAATCTGCCTCCTGGTATGAAAAACCCGTTTGGAACCCATATCAGGGAGTACTGGTCAGGATGTACTCTCACGTCGTCCTTGACTTTCCTCGCTAGGGTTTTCCACACCTGGTTCAATCCCAACGCCCACTGTTTGTAGTTCTGATCTCTGATCCTATTGGCGATCGATGGGTTTTCGCTAAAGTCGGGTGGATTCCATACCTCCAACTCGTCTCCGTCTTCTAAGTGCTCGTCTATGAACTTGACCAACTCGGTTATTGGAGGCACGTTACCATTGTGAGAGTCTTTCAGTTTCTTATATTCGGATAAAATTTCGGACTCTGTACATATCAGTTTCTTGTCCACAAACGTTTTCGAATCCGGATAAATTCGTGCTAATTGTACGTCATGCATAAATTCACTTTCACAGTAGAGTTTGCTTTGATTTAAACAATCGAAAATATATTATATTATTTATTAAGTACAATAAACATAATAATATGTATTATGCACTAATTATGCTACCTGCAAACCTTAAAATAATAGGTAAAAAAATATCGCTAATAATAGGTTGTTATTTGGGTTTATAGGACATAAACCTAACCTGTATAGTGTGTGTATTAATAGTAAACATTGTATTTATTACATATATATTGTTATAATTATGTACTTACTACCTACTACCTAATACCTATATTGAATTTTATGTAGGTAAGTAATATACTAATATACATCTATAAATATGAGTGTGCAGACACAGGTGATAGCAGGTGCATCACTAGATCAATACTGGTACATCCTGTCCGTTACCTATGGTTCTTTAACTTTAATTAAAACATTTGAAACACTGGTTTACTTAATTTTCAGTATCACAACTCAAAATCTGGTGTTTACAGCTTATGGTGCTTTTAGCTCTGTTTACATTCTCCTCTAAAAATTCTACATTTCTTTAATAAGTAAAATAAATTCAATTTTATCAAAATATTTTAGCATAACAAATACGCATAAGTAATTGAATTTTTTAGTACCAAATTTAAATAGTTCTGTTTTAAATCCTGTTTGCCTATAACATTTTTTTTTAGCTTTGTGGGTTTAATCTTATTTCTTTACTATTTTAAAATGTAAGCAAAAGAAATATAACTGTGTAAGATTAAAATTACGATACAAAATAACCATTTAAAAAAACGTTTAATTAATTATTATTATTGTATTATTATAAGGGTTTAAGGTTCATGCAGTATTTGGAAAGTTCACACAAAAACTGAACTCGTTCGCCTTCATACTATTCAGTATTCTTATAAAGGAAAAATTGAACAAATGAACGAGTGTACTACGTTGTTCATTAATACTATAATCTACAGAAATAAGATACCGCATAGACTCACAGTATACTATAATAGACTAAAACAAATTATGAAAATCAACTTGTTAAAAATTATCATTCGTATTTTTTAAATTTATATTTTAGTTACAAAATATTAATGTAAAAAACATTAAAATAAAAAAAAGAGTTTAATTTGGACTGGGTGTAAAATGTTACAAGTTCTCTAAAAATTTGAATTTCGTTCACGTTCACACCATTTATAAGAAATAAGTGACGCTCACGTGTCATTCACTAAATAGGTATGAACACTATGAACGCACGTGTTCTTTTCAAACAATGGATTCATGGAGTACTTAATAATATACAATTAAACATAAGTAACACAGTAATATAAAACAATTTCATCACTCGTAAACCTATTTATTATTGTATAATCATTATTTAATTAAACTCAAAGCTTGCATTTTTTTAAATATGAAAGTAGCCGGTATAGGTACCCAGCAATCACATGATTAAAAACAATGCCATTTCGGCAACTATTTAGTTGGAAAAAAAAGTAGTTGAGATTTATTTACTATTATGTTCGGACTCTGTGATTAATTTACATAAAAATTATAGGTACCCAATACCTAATGCTATTAGATAATATGTTCACTTATACAATATGAATGTAAGTCGTTATCCTAAATAAGTACTTGAATTCGATACATCGATTGTTTTTTTATACATCTCGTCAGCGAAAATTGTGTAACTTGTATTCATAGACACTATGGGCGATGTACAATATGCGTATTTTAGAAATACTTGTTGTATATTAATATTTATAGAAGGTAGCAATGTCAAAACTAATATTTCTAAGAAACGTGAATAAATGGTGACTTTAAGTAGGTATTTGATACATGCTTAAACGAATTATGAATACTTAAACCAATTTAATAGATTATTATTCTATACCTGAGGCATGTTGGCTGTAATGCATTGGATGCATACACTGTTCCAGTCCTCCAGTCTTCGCAAGGCGCACACATTTTAATTGATAGGAGACTTTAAAACGTCAAAATAAAACAAATTTTGAACTATTTTATGTAGTTAAATACTTAATGTTTAAACATATAATGAATAGATTAAATAAACATGGATTAAAAAATAATGGCAATTTGATCATTATAAATTAATATCATACAAATATGAATAGTATGAATTTCCAATATCAACCTATCAAAATTTCGATTTATCAAAATAAAATTAAAACACTACGAAAACAAAAACGAAAAAGCGTCGTGTGCCCATATTAACAACTAGATTGAAGATTTTATCAAAAAATCAAAAGAAATTAAAAACTTATTAATTACCGAAAAATATAATCTCTAGGGGCTACGCTTGTAATATCTAGTAGAATGCATATAAAATATAAATTTCAGTTGAATTAGATAGGTACTCATGGAATTAAAAAGTAAAATTTTGATTTTGAATATTTTCAGAAAAACTATCTGTTAAATAATCTACCGTAGAAAATGGGTGTTATGTGAACAACAGAAGTTTGTATCTCTTCTGCAAAGACACTCCTATAGTAGTAGAAAAAATCTCAAGAGCTTGAAAATATGGTCTTAACGTAATTTAAAAATGCCTTTCCAATTCCTACGGCATCATTGAAGAATATAAAGGTGAGGCATGCTTGGCGGATAAACCTATAAGTACTTGCATAATTATGATGAATACAGACATCACAGCCTCCCCCGACCACCATAAACTGAGAAAAATAAATGTATCAGAAGTCGAATACCTAATTGATAAATATATATTGCAAAATTGACCATATACCTACGTAAGTAGACGTTTCTACTTAAGACTTAGGTCTTACATTTTGTAGTAGCCGTATATATTTTATAGGCATATGATAAACGTATTATATAGTGATAATCAAAAAACTCAAAATATCAAAAATTTAAAACCTCGTGGTTACGACCTTTCATTATTTATCAGTCTACGATCGACAATCTTGCCACCCCTATGTCCTATTGCAACTACACAACAAGACTTATTAAAAATAAATTAATAATTAATATACTAATACCGTGTGGTTATAATAGAATTATGTCCGTCGTAAATTATTCGTCAGTTTGTCCGTCCGTTCACATCAACTGTTTCGGTGTTAGGCACTATCACAGCGGTTGCGTAATTTAACTATAGTTTGCGTATTGTATATTCATATTGTTGATTTTATAAATAAATAATAACATGGTAATATTAATATGTTCGACCAGCATACCTCTATTCGTCTCGAATAAATCGTTTTATCAACTTCAAAAATAATAATAATTGGATTTCCTACTTACAAATATAATACCTTCGTAGGTACATAGTATATGTACCTATTTGTTTGCGTTTGCATTTACGTTTCCAATCGTCTAGAAAATGTGAACTTTTATACTGAGTATTCGATTAAATACTGCTACATTACTATATATAATCGGTTATGTACATATTTTTAATTCGAAACAATATCAATTACCATAGTTGTTTGTATAATATAAAAATCAGGAGGTCAGCAATAATTAGCTTGTTCGTTTAGATCAGTGTGCTTTTCCTCACTTATTGTTAATTGTAATTAAAATATCGTTATCTTAACGCCATCCATATGATATTAAAAACCATTAAGCTTCTTAATTGCACTAGAAACCATTTTCACGGTGTTTGCAACGAACTGGCCAGGCCATACTTGTACATGTTTATTTGAAATCTCACACTGAGCCGCCGTATATCGAGAGTACAAGGACAGGTCTTCGAAAAATATCGTCAATATTCATAAAAATTTCTAATTTTCTCAAACATTTGGTTAAACTGGATTTAGAAAAGTATTTTCACTCAACAGCCTTTAATATAGGTATTTTAATTTAATGGATTGCGTACCTTTAAGTGCTTAAACGTTATAGATTGAGAGGTTGCAGTCATTTGAACGACTGAACAAAATAAAGTGTGCAGTTATATTATATTATACTATTATTGAATCTGAAAGTACGATTATGATCGTATTCTCAATTTATAATTTGATGAATGTGCTTCTATAAACAACGTTCAGATTTTATCACAAGCCGTATATAGGACGAGTTAAAAATGGTAACTGCAGTAAAATCAATACAATTGTGGCTTACATAATAAAATAAGGTTTGCAATATTAGTTTGTACACTTTTTATATGAAATAAACTTCTATAATTTGTCAGCAGGTTGTAGGTATTAAGTTTGTCATTCGAAATACCAGACTGAAAATCGCTATAGCAAAATTACGTATAATAGGTGTAAAAATTATAAACCTATCGTATAATTAAATTGTTATCCGCACATCAACACGAAATAGTTATCCTGCAGTCTTAAGAATAGTGAAAAACGTGTATCAAAAAATGCAGTTTCTTGTTTTTCAATTTTTTGTCATATATTTCCAATAAATTAATAAGGCATACCACATACCTGTTGTACACGCAAAAAAGTGTATAATATATTATAAATTACAAGTATTTTAACTATTAAAAATTGCCTGTTCTTTTTTTAATAATACCAACATCAACAACAATTCCTTATAGTAATTAAAATAAGTGTAAAATTATCTTATACAATTGTATATAAATGAAACAATATTTTAACAAATTATTTATCAATAGACATATTATGTTATTTCGCATTGCGTTATATTTGTGTGTATAAAAAATTAATAACTCTAGATTCGTGTTGTCTTTTATTTAATAAAAATTATCTAAAAATAATATATATTTTTTTAGATGATAAAAATTATTATGTAATAATTAGTTAATACTGAGTTTCTTCATTGAATTTATCAGCGTTGCAGCCGTTCGAAGCATGGTCAATTTAATTAGGTACCTAAGTATAATCAGTTTCCGGTGCATAGGCGAATAGGAAGATTATCCGCGTCTCCTCAAGACTGAAAATAAAAATAAAATCGTTAATATTTGATTTCATTACAACATTGTTTGTGAGTGTTCTGTATTTATGTGATTTTTTTGAAGTCAAACATAATATCATAATATAAGTTATAACTGGTGTCATTTTAAACTGAAAAAAGCTTAAGTGAGAGATAACATTGTTGTTGTGTGCTATAGTGCTAAAGTACTGTGTCACTGAAATAGAATTTGCAAATTATAAAATACAATTATTTTTAACAAGTGCCTTATATAGGTGAATTGTAACGGGCAAAAATATTCCCATTTTTCTTTCATACCCATCATTTTTTATTTACCCAAAACATTAACTGTTGTCTGATCCTATTGAAATCACACAAGTATCTATAACCAGAAGTACATCCTAAAAACACAAAATCATAATTTTTCAAAACCGGATTTACGTTTATTCCATTATTCCATCAATATTTCGCACAGATCAAGAACATTTGGTACAAGTTAATGGCAAAATATGTTCTCCTTGAGGATACCTTAAATACTATGCTGTTTTTTGTACAATCGAATCAATAAAAACTAATCTTAATTCGTATCAACATATTTACACAATAAATAAAAATCCTTTTAAAATTTTGTTTATCTCTTTTTCTTCTCAAAAGTTTTACAAACATTTTTCCTTGGCAATTTTGAAACAAACCACAAACTACAAACTCGCAGGTTTTTGGTGTCAGCTATTCCGTATAGTACATTTTATAATATAGACTTTTATGCACCAATTAGGTACAGAATTCATTTAAGATTTTTAAAAAATTTTTTCCAATGAGGGTAAAAGTTTTTCATTTAAGACATTTAATAATTTCAAAATGTCATCTTACCGTTTGTCCCGTTCGTTACTGTATCACCCCATCGATGTAATAACTCAAACACCAGTCCATTTGTCCAACCAAAACCTGTCTGCGGAGTATATTCTCCACCGCCACCAGTTTCTCCTGAAGCTAGAACGTCATACTACAAAACAATTTTCAAATTAGAATGACATTTAAGAGTAGATACCTATGGTTTAGATGGTATAATATAATGTTGTATCCGTTAATTACTTTTTCGAACATCATTGATTTCTCTGAGAATGACTTATAATTTGAGCGTAACCAAACTTCAGCCAATCTAAATGCCACCTGTTGTGCAAGTTTCTGGTTTGTCTTGTCTAGACCTTGGATGATGAAAGCTTGCAGAGGAGGCCATGCATTTGGGAAGTCCCACTGTTGTGATGAATTGTACAAAGACGAAGGTGTTCCTATATAGAAACAATAACATTGTTTTTCATAATGTACTTATTGAGTATCAGTATTGCATTCATTATAATATACTATTATAATAAATTGCGTATTGTCAGGTATTTTATTCATAAACAAATTGAATTTGAAAATCTTATGAATTCTTAAAAAGTTGCTTTATGAAAACTATTATTTAATCGTACCGTTGAAATTCACAGTATAATCGGCTTCAATAATATGATTATCTCTTAGATATCCCAACACTGAACTAGCTACCGCCTTTTTCGGCATATTGTAGCTTTCCGTCCACAGAGGTACAATATTGGAAACGAAAAAATATTCTCGACTTTTATTATTCATCGTATCCCAGTCAAACCATGCCCCTAGGTCTGGTCTCCACATAACCTATAGTATTAATATATTATATGTTATGTTTTTTTTTCAATAATTAATAATTTAATACACTTATTAAAATAAAATATAATCTAATATACTTCTTGTATACTGTAAAGAAGATTCTCGGCGATCACACGATATTTCTCGGCTTTAGCTGTATCTCCCAACTTGCTATACCATGAACTCAACAACAGTGCATTCTTTTGTAGTAGGGAGTTTAAATCGACTGGTATTATATGCGTCGTTTTTATATCAGTCAATACCCCTAGAAACGTCGAATATACCGTATTATGCTGTGTTTCTAATTGGAATAATGAAAATACTTACCACGATCTGAGCCATTTTTAGTTATAAACCATCTACTTGAAAAGTCCCATCCAGTCTCTGCTGCAGACTTCAGTTGGGTGTAAAATTCTTGTTTTTCATATTCATCTTTAAAAAATTCCGCCGATTCGAAGTCCTCTCTACATTAACACAAATACTTTAGACGGTGCAATCATAAGGCTACCAAAGTACACGAACCTATAAGACTCAGGTCTTGGACCCCTCGATGGTGCATAGTATCTTGCCATTTTGTGCGATTTGCCGTTTTTCTCGAAAGTCGTCATTCGGTTTTCCAACCAAAACTCGTATTCACTATCCAAGACCTAAAACAGTAATTGATCGTCCTGTGATTACAATTTAATTTCGTAATTATTATTTATGCAATAATTAGTTCAAACTTACAGGGATGATTTTTTTTACATATTCAAAGTCGTTGGTTTTTTTATGGTAGCTATCTACCATCAACGTTAGAATTGGTGGCTGTGATCTATTTAGGTAGTACACTCGTCCACCATTTGCCATGAAACCAAACTTCTCCACTAACGATGCTATATTGTCAATAACACCTCTAGCTGTTTTCGTCATGTCACATAATAACATTCCGTTAACAATCCAATACGTGTCCCAATAGTAAAGTTCTTTAAATCGGCCTCCGGGTATAGCAAATCCATTTGGAACCCATATCAGCGAGTATCTGTCAGGATGTACTCTCACGTCGTCTTTAACTTTCCTCGCTAATGTTTTCCATACTTGGTTTAGTCCCAATGCCCACTGTTTGTAATTCTTGTCTTTAACCCGGTCGGCGATGGAAGGAGAATCAACAAAATCGGGTGGGGTCCACTCCTCCAACTCATCACCATCTTCTAAGTGCTTGTCAACAAATTGTATTAACGCTTCTTTAGGCACTTCACCTTTGTACTCGTCTCTCAGTACTTTGTAGTTGTATAAAATCTCAGATTCTGTGTACTTTAGTTTCTTATCTACGAAAGTTTTCGAATCTGGATAAAGTGCAGCTAGTTGTACGTCGTGCAACAGATCACTTTCACAGTACACTTTGCTAAAAACAACATTAATGTCAGTTAAGTTGTTATTATTTTATTTCTAATATTACGGGAAATTTACTATTTTTAATTTTGAATATTACAAATTATAATTGTACACTTGTAATTCTGAGCAGAGTGATATTTAAACGATAAGAATAATAATTTTAATTATTTTATTCCCCCAAGGCGGCAAGACGCAATCATAGCTCCTATATTCTCTTCAACATATTTACAGCGGACCAATATCTACTTCTACTAACACCTTTGTCACAGAATATGCCGACGACAAAGCGATCATTTCAACTCGTGAAAATCCAATCATTGCTTCAAACAGGCTTCAATCCCACCTCACTTATATAGTCATATTGAGACCTGGTGTAAAAACTGGAAAGTTAAAATAAATTAATCTAAATCCTCCCACATCACTTTCACTCGAGTCACTTTCAATGACATCGAAATTCCTACCTCACTAACCACTAGGAGTTAATCACCTTGGAGTTCACTTTGATAAAAAAAAAAAACTAACTTTTAGGCCACCACATACACTTCAAGCTCAAATGAACTCTCGTATTCGTAGCCGTAACTACTTTTTAAACTCAAAATCAAAACTCACAATCATCACCAAACTTTAACTTTATACAAATGTCTCCTAAAACCTATTTGGACGTACAGTGTCCAGATCTGGGGGTCAGCAAAAAAATCAAATATTCCAAAACAAAACTTTACACCTAATAACAAACGCTCTTTTACGTTTCGAACCGAACACTGCACACTGGTCTAAAACTACGATCAGTTCTTGAAACTGCCTCTAAATTCTACAAAAGTTACCACAACTCACTTCCCGATTATCCAAACTTACTATTGCAATATCTTTCAAGCCCAATGCCCGGAAATCCTCTCAATAATATTAAAAGAGTCAAGGGAAATGGTGTCACGACCTGCTTCTTAAGTAACCTCTTAACACAACTCAATCGTAGGAGTGTTGCCATTGGGTGGCTTCTCCACCCAAGTTCTCTTGCTTTGTAAATCTTAATGTGTATGATCACTTATGCTTACCATACTAAAATTTTATAGATTGTATGAATTAAATGAAAAAAAAACGAAAATATAAAAATATATTTTTATATACATTTAATGACATTTTCAAAATATTTAGATTAATTTTACGCTGTTGCCTATTTGTAGTTCACACCATATTTTCGTAAATAGTAAAATATATTATTATAGTAGTTTTTTTAATTTAAAATTGGTCAAATGCAAATGTTAATAAAATATGGTTTTTTACATTATCTTATTTGCATTTGCTGTTGCACGAATAAACTCATATCAAAACCTTAATCATTATCAATACTTTTAGTCAATCGAGAATGCTAATTCTACTGGTATCAGTTTCACGGACTTTAATCCTGTAACGATAAACCAACTTAATTACTTTATTCACTATTAGTTCTTTGTAATATATAGCTAAACATGTTTTCTCTAATTAAAGTCATATTTTCATTATGACGTATTACGTGTGAAGTGTTGAACATATTTTTTATTAATTCCATATATTATGTGTAGTGTGTACCCACTTAAAAAGTAAAATCGTTATCTAGATACGGATAGTACACCCTATCGACAATTTTGTTATATTAACATTCCATATGACCATATAACTATGAGTATTTCATATAATATATCATAAATACCTACCTAACATCGTACCTATTATAAAATTGGAATTTGAAACTTAATCTGAATCATTCAAAAATTATAATAATAAGTGTGTAAATTAGTTAAGACTCATGTAGTCGAATAGGAGGACCTACTATAAAATAATTAATCTCAAGTTTTAATGAAATCGGGTTACATATGTTATTGTATTCATAATTTTGTGGTTTTTGTCGTAATACATACTATATTAATCGATAACTACTTATTAATCGCTAAAAAATGTGACGAAGAACTACATTTAAACTTGTTAACGCATAGCAAGTTGTCAATGCCATAAACTCATTATTATTCGTTATTATTTTGAATAAGTTATAAATTAATTTAAGCCATAAATATTTAAAAACACATGAGTAAATAGGTACCCACCAGTATTGTGAAATACGTAAGCAGCAATGTAGTATAATAAAAAATTAACCCATCTTATACTTAGGTAGATTAGAATTAAGTTTCTAAGCAACATGTCTATATTATTTTAAATCGTTAATATTTGTATAATTACTATAATTATGTACCTATTTTCTATTAATTATGAACAGTAGGACTAAATATTAATTATTTTAGTTTCTTAGATTTCCATTTCTTCACTAGGTGCGTTTTTGAGAGGTGATGTAGGTACGGAAAAATGAAAATTGCTTAATAAAAAATAATTTATGTAGGTAATCACTTTTTTATAAAGAGCTCAACCATATTTTGTTTTAAAATTTGAACAGCAATTTGCACAGAATAGTTTTTTTAGTATAGTTATTTGTGTGCATATACAATAACGAGTTAATACAGTGTCCATAATATTCTTTCAACAATTGCATGTTTTCCTTGTGGTCAATTCATTTTTTTTCTCCGCACATTTGTGTTAAAAATATGTTTATAATGTTGTTGTGTGTTTATTTGTTATCTCGTTAACATCTGTTATGTGCTTCTTCTAAGACTGCAAGACAATACTTGGTAATTATTCTAATGATAAAACATTGTCAATATTATGTAGAGCTTTGGCAAAGTAATTTATTTGGTATACTTTTAAGTTGTAATTTTTAAATCGTTTTAGTTAGTTCATCATAACGTAACATATTATTTTGTAGACTTATGTTTTTTTATCTTGTAATCACACATTATAGGTATATTCACACATATTTTGGGCAAGTTATTAGTATCAAAATATTCTCATTGTTTTTGGAGTAGATTTCAGTACAAAATTGAAAAGCGATGCTTATTAAGGAATAATCCTTAAAAACTTTTTAAAGTACAAACCGATTACCATATATACATAACTATTTACTACTTACGACGATTTAGGTATAAATTATTTTATTATCATATTGTTTACTCTCAATAGCCCAATATTATAATGTCAAATAAATGTAAAATTTTTATTTACGACTGCCAATGTTTATTTTATATTTAGGACCAAAATTTTAAGCTAATATTTTGGAATATTGAATTAAAAGTTCTAATAAAATAGTTTACTAGTTCTAGACATTTTATGATCATTAAAAATTAACAAAGTGGTGAACATTTTCTGATAACCTCTATATGACTGAATTTCATTAGTTTAAACCTTCAACTAATAGGTATATTATATTTTATATTTAGTTGCTTACCTACATATTTAGAATTTATCCATTACATTATTTGTACGTACTATACACCAGTCACTAATATGTTGCCATATAAATAATATTATTAGTTGCATTTCAATTTATTAAATATTATGATTTACAAAATTTTAATAATGTTACTTTAGAAAAATATAACTACTCAACTTAAATTATTTTTAAAATATAAACTTTGCCTAAAAGTTTAAAGTGCAATTATTTTTACCCGACATTTTCATCGTTATAATTCGTAAGAAACTTTTAATACAGGTAACCTCAAGATTTTTTATGATTCAATTAAATATCAAATACAAGGAATTAATTAATGAACCAGTTCAACACAATATAAGTAAAATCAATATTTTTTTATACCTTTGACACGATGGCTGAAGTCCATTGGATGCGTGATAAAATCCTCTTGCCAAATGAACAAATTCCTGGTTATCTGCATGTGTATAATACACAAAATGTGCCAAACACACGACCAGTAAGTGGAATCGCATAGTTTCAAAAATATTAAACGAATTACAATAAAACGAGGATGATGAAAGCACAGAGAGAAAAATAATATTTTTGTTTTATTTCTTCCAATAAACTAGCATAATCTTTTTGTTACAATAATTTGTGTTAAAATAAAATAATTATTGTTTTTTCAATTAACAGTTTAATATTAAAAGACAAAAAAAAAACCGTGAGATTTTTAAGTTGGACCCTGAGCCTTCTTCACAGGTTTCCCACAGGCCTTGCACGAATCGACTGCACTAATGACCAGCGTACATTGTGCCTTTATCGGAACACAAGACCCAATGCTAATGTTGCCTAATAATTCATTAGACAGATAGTGTACGGTAACCCCTCATGTGTGATAATTTGTGCAAATACGAGCAGATAAAATACACGCGGTACGGTATACGCACAAATTGTAAAAAGAAATTGTTGACACGTCTTCGTATTGTAATCTATTTTCCCCCTTTATCCTTTTACTGGTTTTACAACAAACATATTACTTAGAATGAAGTAGGTAGGTATACGCAGCTATGTGTGGACAAATTAGCTCTATTCAAGTAGATTTTTTTTCGCATTTCCTTGCCCAATTTTCATGGCCATGTTCAACCGTTCCATTATTGTGTTTAAACGAATTTATATTTGGTGTAACTGGCAAATTCTATTTAGGTATAAGTTATTATCATGCACTTGTTTTCGGTTTCAGTTTTTAAATGTGGTGGCTAACCGTTGTATGCACAGTTGTCACTGTAGACTACTGGTATTTTTGTAAGTAAAAAATGCGTCCAATATTTATTCATTTCATATGAATCTACGTCGATTGGTATTTGTATAACGACAAATGAAATTATTTATTTCACATTTGTGCACAAAAATTGATGAAACAAATTTTACAACTCGAGCTGTTTATTTGTGTTATATTTTTTATTCATCATCATAATATACGCGATGTTCTATATGCCATAGTTGCAGAATATGGATTCAACAAATAATACAATTTCAATTCAATATTTGCATATTATTTTCATTTTTAAAATGTACCAATACTCACCACACAATGAGACAAATATGTTATATTTTAGAAAATAATATTCACGTGTTTGATTTATATCAACACCTTATTTTTATATGCATAAGAATAAAATTATATTTATAGAATATAAACGAGAATAATTTTTAACAACATTTCTCAATTTAATTTTGTTGACAATATATGACTTCAAACAATTTGGAACTTATTAAGCTCATTTTTTGTATTTATTTTAAATGAAAAAACAAAAATATGGTCCGTCTCAAAATGTATATTATTACAATTATTGCTAACAAAAATACATCTATATTATACATTAGCTATTTATTTAAGATAAAAAAAACCACGTGACTTGAGTATATTAAAAAGATCATCATATCAGTACTTAACATTGAATTTATATTTGTTCAATAAAATAATACGTCATGTCTTACATGCTTACGTAAGATATTAAATTATTAAGTGCCTAGCTATTTATTGTTTGTAAGTATAACTACATTTTTTATTGAGTACTGCAGGATGAAAGAAACATTTTATTTACTTCGATCATTTATTAAACAACGTGAGTAATATCAATTCGAGTATGTACGTATAGTAAATTGACTTTATTACAATTAGATATTTGAATTTTGAAAGACAGATGTTCACATTTGAAAAACACTTTTAAGTCGATCTCGATTTACTTAAGTTATGTTTAGTCTCCGGTTTACTTTTCATGGGTTTTATTTTTTGGACAATATCTTGTCTATGTCGACATTCTATAATAATATTGAGTTAAGAACTCCGAAGTATTATATTCGAACTATAGACTGATTTGAAAATTTTAAGATAATCATTTAAAAAAAATGTTATCATTACCCGTCATGACTCAGATTATCCAGTTATCCTCTTATATTATGTAAGTATAATATAGGCGTGTAATCTCTCAAATGTTCACTCATAGTGTGACTAACTGAATAAAATATGAATACATAAGTAGTTAAATATAAATTAATAATTTAACTTTATAAATATTTGCATATACTTTAGCCCCATCCGTAAACTATTTTTGAACTTAACACAAGAACAAACTTATTTTAAAACTTAAATCAACCAAAATATACTTGAAAATATAATAGTCACGACTCTGCTCAAATAAATAAATACTAAGATACCTCATTTTCAAAAATGTTATTTTCAAGCAAACAATTATAGTCATTACTCATTAACGATGACATATCTCAATTAAGGTGCCTTGGTAAAATACAGTGTTTAACCTATCTTAGTATAGTCCAAGTTATGACTTATAACTCATTATGCTACTATTGGTACCAAGATGTTGAGCCGTCGTAAGCCACTTTTATCCCTAAGAATACACTTTTCAATATAATAATTTCTACTATTAATGTACGGTAAAAAGTAAAAACGTATTCTTGACCTCATCACCATTATGTTTATGTTCATAGTTTGCAAACGACACCCACTGATAAATTATAACAAATAAAACGTGAACAATATTCATAATTTTAAGAAATTTTGACAAATTTTATTTGGTCGCTTCAATTAAAGGCCCAGCTAATCTCTCGAAAATTTGCCCTATTTAAGCCTTTCAGACAATTATATGTTTATCCTAAGACGTATCTCCGGTTCTCCATGGAACATAACGAATTCTGACCTCCATAACGACTTAAAAATACAAACCGTAAACGAGCTTTCTGAAAGCTATTATACAAAAATAAAATAACTAAAAATTAACCGACCATATAAACCCCTTTATTAAAAACATGTCCTCTCTTATATTACTACAAATCCTCCATCGACTAAAAAGAAACTGGTCAAGAGACTTCCTAAAATAGAAAAAATAAAAATAAGTTTTCTGAGGTTCTGTTTGAATGGTCTCCTCTTCGTGTGTTTCATGTTTTTGTAGATTCATTTATCTCTTATTACTTATTATTTTTATATTGAAAACAGATGAAATGCAATTAAATAAAAAAAAAAAAAAATACATTTTAGTATTTATCTTGTTATTGTATCAAAACTGCATACACATGGAGTAATAACGAAAAATTCATATTATTTTAGAAAAAAGCAGATTTAAGATTTTTAAATATACATTGTATGGACAGTTGAATGTGGATGAAATATTACGAAATAATTAATAAGGACTATAATAACTATTTTGTAAAAATAAGTAAAAAATGACAGGTACCTATATATAGCTACTCATCTGCATTTACTGTGTGATAATATACTCAATTAATTAAAGTAAGATAATACTCATAAATTATAATTAATAGCTACTTATTTGGTATTTATCTTATGCATTTTTAAGGCTTAGGTACAAGTCCACCAGATTGGCACCGGCACAAAATGCGAGGACTAGAATTCTAATATCAAAAAATTGCTAGGGGTTAGGTAGATTTTGATAGGTAATTTTCAGAATTTGCTAGTATCTCATTTAAGTGTATGTCAAAATACAAATATGTCGGTGCCAACTTGACACAGCACCGGCACATTGCCCGATCGGTTGGCAAGCAGTATCGGAAAATTGCTAGATTTTGCTAGGTTGTTTTTGAAATTTGGTTTTTCTAGTAAACTCCAATACCTAAGGCCTAATACCCCCGATTCCATACCTAAGGTATGTATAATTTTTAAATTCAAATTTGTTCTTTCATAAACCAAATACGAACTTGACGATTTAAGTTTTTTAAGCATTGATCGAGTGTACATGAACTAATTACATTTTCAAGGAAACTTTTGGAACAATATCTTCTATCCAGTACTTTTCAGAACAGTTTGAAATTTAAAAGAAATGGTATACTATTTATATAATATGAATATGTAATGTGATATTCTTGTAAATATGTAGCACATGAAAACGATTCTCTAAATACATTAATTTGTGAGGTTCCTGTTTAATTAATGTATGCAGTTGGTAGTTGGTTTTATTCAAATATATAATCACGCAAGTAAAACTATTTTATTATAAATAACTGGGAAGAATTTGTGAAGTTTAAACAGGACAGGTATCTTCAATTGCAATTATTGTGCAGTGTGTATAAATTCATATTCATATTAGGTACATTAAGTAAAAACCGTTCAGCTGATACAATCTATAATATTTTGGAGGGTGCAGTAGAAAAAAAACGATATCTTAAAATATTAAACCACTATTGCGTGGATTTTTAACGCTCCGGCCAACATAGTACTATAATATGTAAATTATACTCTTGTGTAATAATAATTAATAGCAGGTAGTATTTTGCATTTACACTGTTTCTTTGCCTACTTATCATGACAATAACATGCGTTCCTTTACCTGCCGCATATAACTATTTACACACATTAATATTTTTTTAATTCGTTTATACGGCTTGTGCCTATCTGTAATAACGTACGATTCGAATGATTTCTTATGAAAAATGTTTATTATTCTTAAAAAAGAATCGCCGGAAAACAATTAAACAAAAGAATTCATGCTTCAATTAATCTAAGGTTAATTAGTCTATGTAGGTTATCTAAATTGGCACTGATATATTTGCATACTGCTGGTTAAGTGTATTTTTATTTGCAAACATCAAAACGATAATACAACAAGGACAATCGAAAATTCGCAAACAATCTATACCACTGCCAGATTTTCAAGATTTATGTCTAATTTATGCACAATAAACAGATTAAGCTTACGGAGTATTATATTTAATTTTTAAATTGAACATTAAGTGAAATATTCACCTAATACGAAAGGAGGAAGTTCTATTATGTAGGCGTTTAGTGATGTTTAGAAATTCAAATTACATTGCCCATCAAACTATTTGCATGAATCATTATAATATTATAATTAAGACTTAATATGCAACAAACACACGTCATACACATGCGTAATAAACAGTTACAATTATTGTATTTGCAATGTTATTATAAAGTTGAATTATAATTACTGTCATTTTATGATTTGTTAAATATCCTCTACAAAATATACAACATTATGTTAGTTGAACAAACATACTTAAGAGGACGTCATACCCACATATTGTGTTGTCACTGTTGTCTATGTCTAGCAAACGCACATCAAAGTAAATCTTAAGTTCAGAATAATCTATTAAACTCAATTATTTTTAATATCACAGCTGTCAGACATATTACAAAATTGAATGTTACGTTATTACCCTGCTATACCTGCCACATGTAGGTTTTTCTGATATTTTAATAGAAGCAAGTTATAAGCATTTTAATGTTTAAACAAAATTTACAATTTAAAAATGCTAAATTAAAATATACATGAAATACCTTCGTGTTGCCCAAAGTACGCCCTAACAAG